AATATTATACTTTCATTTCTCTTTTTCTCCAGAAGCCTATTTATTCCACACTGATCAATGCAAAGTTGACACAAGACATTCAGTAAATCTAAGATAATATTTTGGAAGGTGTCTGTCTTCATTGTTTAGTGCTTGGACACACTGTAGTTTCTTTTAAATGTTTTGATTATAATTATAATATCAAAAAATGTCACTTTATTGTACATTGTTTTGGTGCTGGACTTTAAAAAAATCATAACTTTTGGTAATGAGTGAAGGCAAATCCAACACTTGCCTTTGTCCATTTTACATCAACACTGTGTCTCGAGAGCTCGCACTCAATAGAGATTACTGCCCCTTCAGGGAATTTCTGGTTCACCAGTTTCCTCAAAATGGTCACTGGGGGCTCTGGTGGAGAAAAAGTATGCTTAGTTAAGAAACCAAAACCCAATTTAAATATCTCCAAAATGCTTTGCTACTCAAAAGTAAACTGTATGGTTAAAGGAGAGGTTTGCAGTTTTTAATGTGTGTCTTAAAATAACAGTCAGGTTCCTACTGTATGTGCTGTTCCTCATATTTGTTTTAAATAAACACTGGAATACACTGTTGCACAGAACCAGGGCTGTGGATTTTGTCCTTTCTCACTTTCACTGGAACCATGAAAGAAAGGGTTTATAGTCTGAACAGAATGAATGATTACATGAAGCAAATGTGGTGTCAGTGTATTGTACATATCAACATGTGAAGAGTGTTTAAAGACAAACTTCAGGTTATGTGGAATAATTTACCACAATGACATTTTAATCCAATTGCCATCCTTAATGTTTCAACCCTGGCTCATAGGGATGATGCATACTGAGTAACTCGGCATGGAGCGGATTATTGTACAGCATGAGGTTAAACCAGCGCCTGACAGAGAAGACTGAACAGAGCTGCAGCTTGTCATTGGGTCATGCTAGGATATTTTGTGTCTGTAACATGAGCACGGGTAAAGTACAACAGTAGCAGAGCTGGCAGCTCCATTCTATTATCATCCCACCATCTGAATGGACCACTACAGCTTCAGTCTGAGGTCACAGCAAAATCACTACAGTAAAATGTTGTTTTGGTAGTATTGCAGTGTTCAGTACTGTACATGATCTGTGGCCAAATAATGAATTATTATGAGATATTTAGAAGTATTAAAGTGACCTCGTAGATTACCTACATTACATTGCTGCACTTGTTAAGCCTGTAATAAGTATTTTAACTCAAAATTACTTCTTTACTTAATGACCTACCCTTCACAACAAGCCTTGCAGTTGTCTTCACATTCTCTACACAGAATATAAAGGTGCCGGTGTCTTCTGTTGATAGGTTTGAGATAGTGAGGCTGTGGACCTGTCCTTTGGCACTTATACGGAAGTGGTTTGTCGGTTTAAGTTGGATTCCATTTCTAATCCAAGTGCCCGGGACATTAGGATGTGAGAGCTCCACCTCAAAAGATGCTGTTTCTCTCTCTGTCGTGTTAATATCAGTCAGTCCCCTCTTGATTTTGATTTTTCGAGCTGTAACGACAATATTAGAGCTGTAGAACCCGTCTGAAGTAGCCCAACAGTTCATGCAGTAAAGCGTGTACAGCAGGCTCTAACACAAGTACTGTACATTTAGCTAACTGCTTTGTCAGTGGGGTTTGTATTAGTACTTTTCAGTATAATGAAAACTAAATACAGTAGTAAACAAAAGTTAATGTCTGAAAGACTGGCCCCAGTAACAAGCATTTCCATTCCATTTTAACACTGAGCAGACATGGTGTCGATTTTCTGTTGCAGGATAACCTGGAGTCTGTTCTGTACCTAGCAGTCTGCAGTTAGACAACACAAGCTGGAACATGGTGACAAGCTGATAGTTTAGCCATTTATATAACGAGCTTTACGCAAAAGCAAGCTTTGAAACTGCCAACATTTTTCACTTATTCTAACACAAGCAAGCATTCCCTGTGGGGAAAAAAGAGTGTTTATCTTAGAGACCTGATGACAACAACCTTAGTTTTGAAGGCCAGGGTGTAAATTTAGATGCAATGAGAGGAGATCCAAATTCATAGGAGGTGCCAACAGCAGCCTGAAGACCTGACTTTCCCCTTTCCACCAACACTAGTGTTGAAAGAACTTAATTCATCCATTGGCCTGTGGATCAGAAGGCTAGGAAATTTAAGAAGTGTTCACAAAGAAAAATCACAACAAGGTGTCGTTTTTTAAATGTGTCAGGTTTGTTACATTTGAGAAATGGTGCACTTTGTTTAAAAATCAAATTCTAGTCCTTGAACAGTTGCATTTTACTCTTCAAGCACTTTGTTTAAAGTTTAATCTGATTTGTCTTTGGCATAGGTAACGATATCATCAGAAACCCTGGTTTGAAAGTCAGGGGCTCTAAGGCTATCACCTGTTGTTTGTCATCATGTACAAGTGCCACGCTGGTCACCAGTCACTCAGATTACTCTTACTCAGATAACTGAGCTTTGCTTTCACAAGAAGCACTGATGGAGGGTGTGCAAGAGGCAGAGTTGTCAGCAACAGCGGTAAACAAACAACAGCAAGGCATAGTGAGAACACTTGCACTTGCACACTCACGTTCCACAGTTAGCTGGGCTTGCGTGCGGTCATGGAGAGTTTCACAGCTGTAGGTGCCACGGTCAGACATGGCCAGTTTGTGGATGATGAGGCTGTGTTTGTGGCCCTTGTGTTTCAGGTTATATTTGGCCCCAGGGTGGATCACCACCCCTTGCCTCATCCACTGCACCTCTCCTGTGTCCAAACTCACCTCCACCTCTAGAATTGCCTCACTGTACTCTTCAGCTACAACTGGTGTCATTTGCTTGGTGAACAGCACCTGTTGCTCTAAAAATGAAAATAAGAAATGACTAGATAGCATCATATCAGCACTTTATACCCTCTTATATGATTACTTTGTATGTCTGAGTTCTTGGTTGATTGCCAAAACAATCCTATAAAAGGAGGACAGAACCAAATATGATATAGACCAATGAAGTTCTGTTAAATTACATTGCACAATAAAGTGCAGAGACTGAGTTCTGAGGAGCTTTGTCCCCTGCATTGTCACATAAGTCAGAACCACCAAACCACTTGCCTCTGTCAGTTATCAGGGAAATTCTAACAGGAGAAGCTGCTAACTGTCAAAGGCACCTACTGAACAGTTTCAACTTGTCTGAAAGTGTCGACATTTCTTATACAGTATATCCTTATGTTATACTAATGGTACACAGGTATGTAAACTCCTAGGTTTAAGTTCACAGTTACCCCAGATAAGGTTTTTGGACTACTGCTAAATATCCTATGTTACTCAGTGAGACAATCATCTATAATTAAAGTGTTAATGGATGAGGCCACAACTCACCTTGAACCTGGAGTTCTGCCTCTGATACCACTCCCTCAGCATCAGCTGTCACTCTGCCGCTATCTGAAACCATGCAGTTGTGGATGCAGAGCATTCGGCAGAGTCCATTGCTTGAAATGACAGTCCGCTCCTTCAGAGCGACTTGCTTGCCATTTAAGCACCACACCAACTGAGTGTCCTCTGGTGAAACCACACATTTAAATATTGCATCTTCTCCTTCAGAGACCATGATGTTATGAAGCTCCGTTATGAACTCAACAGCACGGGGAGCTGAAGGCAAAGCATTAACCTGAATTAAATTTGACACTTTACATGTTAAGATTGCTCATCGGCTAGTTTAAACCATTTTAATAATAATTTCTCTCTCTGACCTTCCTTAAAGTACTTACTTTCTATAATGACAGTAGCTGAGGTCCTGTCATCTGTGGATTCACAGGCGTACTCTCCAGCATCTTCTTCCACTGCTTGGTGGATGATGAAGCTTCGCTCTCGACCTTGTGCCCGTATGGTGTGCCGACTGCTTGGAGAGATCTCCTGGCCATCTTTTAGCCACTGCACATCTCCTTTGGCCTTGTTGATCTCACATCGCAATGTAAGGATGCTGCCCTTCAGAGACACAGTATTCTCCAGTGGTCTGATAAATTTCACCTTCATTTCTGATGAGTAGAACAAGAAAGATAATTCCAGAGAGGTTTACTTTGTGCCAGTTATAATTAAGTAAATATGAACTAGGGAAGAGAGGTCACATTTTGATGAGTGTCAAATTCTCACCTTTGACTGAAAGAGTGAAATGCATTTCATCTGTGTTTACGTCACAGACATATTCTCCAGAATCTGACAGCTGCAGAGGATTAATGTTGAGCTTGTGGGTATTACCCTCACTGGAGATGTGAATGTTGTCCTTGTTCAAAAGCTGGCCATCTTTCAGCCATCGAACATTAGCTCTTTCATGACTCACAATGGCACACAGTGTAACACTCTCATTTTCAGTGCCTGTGATGTTATTACTTGCTTTTTTATTCACAAACTTGGCAGGTGGCTCTGAAAAAAATGAGATACACAAAGAAGTTGCTTGTAAATTCCATGCACATACATAAAACATTAAGTTCACAGAAACCACAGAAATGAAATGTGAAAGACTTTTATCTTACCCTGCACATCAACAATTGTTATCAATTTGTCATCAGTGGCATCACAAATGTATTTTCCAGAGTCTGAGGGCCGGAGTCCAGACAGAACAAGTTTCCTCACAACGTCATAGCTGTCAATTTTTATGCGAGTGTCTGGTTTCAGAATCTCGCCGTTCCATAACCACTGAACAGTGGCATTTGGCCGAGACACCTCACACTCCAAAATAAGGTCATCTCCTGCTACCAGCATATGATGCTCCGGGTGGCCTGAGTTACCGATGATCTTTACTGGGGGCTCTGAGTATAAAAGACAGTTAATATTCTTCGGAGAGGATGAAAGGTGGATAACATTTAAAGTGTTTGATAGTATGATTACCTTCAACAGTGATGTGGAAGACCATCTTATCATCCACTGCATCACAAGTGTACTCTCCTGAATCTTCAAGCCCAGCATTTAGGACAACTAGTGATCGGAAAACGCCTTGCTCCTCACTGCAGTATCGCTCATTATCATCAATTAGCTGACCGTCTTTGTACCAGTTAACTGCGACATTGGATCTTGAGAGTTCACACACAAGAATAATATCATCTGACACTAAAAACTGCTTTTTCGTTCTTGCGTCAGTTTTTCCCAGAATTCTTACAGGCAACTCTGAAAATAAACAAGAGAATTTGCATTGGAACAAAATTAACTTTTCGTATCCAAGTTAAGCAAAAAAATAAAAATACATTTTAAAAGAAGAAGCAGTTGTGAAGTGGGAGGAGCTATTTCAACCTCTTAACCCAGAAACACAGGACTCTTACTTTTATGATGTGGCATTGTCTCTTGCTATAGAGAAGAAGCCAGTAAGAGCCACAGATAGATAGAAATGGTAGGGAATTCAAACAATCAACATCAACAAACAATTTTCTAACCTGAAATAAATCCCTCCACTTCACAGCTCAGTTATCTTAGTATCTTGATAAGGTCAGTGATCTGTTTTGAGACCACTGTGTTCCACTGAAGTGCATGTGCAGACTTCTCAGTAAAAAGCATAGTGTATCAGTAAAATATTTTGCTCAGTGCATAAGACAGAAAACTTGTAAAGATTTAGAAAGTTTCATTTTTCATGACACTAGCGATCTACAACATAGCATTAGCAGATCATCTGGTTTACCTTTGAGGTCAATAACCCACCTTGCACTTTTACATGGAAATCCATGACGTCGTCCTTTGCATCGCAGACATACAGCCCATCATCTTCCACTGTTAGAGAGTGAATAGTTAATTGACGTATGACACCATCCTCAAGGATAGTCATATTTCTAGAGTCTTCGACTTCTTCCCCATTCTTTTTCCAAGTGACCTCAGCATTGGATCTCGAAACCTCACAGTCCAGAACCAGAGTTTCCCCTGCCACTTTCTTTATTTTACTTGGCATCTTCCTTAGACGTATGAAGCGAACAGGAGGCTCTGTGTATTAAGAAAACTTAGAGTTAGCAGTGGATGAAACCTGACACATTTATTGGACCTACTTTTCTCATTCATTAGTTTTGTTTTTACTGTACCTGCTATGTTTACAAAGAATGTCACAGAGTCATCTGCTGTGTCACATACATATTCTGCTGAATCCTTGACAGTGGTTTCAGGTATAATAAGTCTTCTGTAGACACCATCCACCTCAAGGATAAGGTTGTCGTTCTCCTCCACTTCGAGTCCGTCTCGATACCAGCGCACCACTGCACTGGGCCGTGAAATCTCACAACTCAGTACCATCTTCTCAGAGGTTTGCTGGCACAGTTCCATTTGTGACTGACTCGGGGATACAATTAGCACAGGAGGTTCTGGAAACATTTTGACCCAACTTATTATTTGCTCATCAAGTTGATGCGTTGTAGATTAATTCACAAGCTGTTTGCAATTTCAACAAAATAAATAGTGAACATTGGTCTAAATGGCAGGTATCTCCTGCAGGACTATCTTTGATATCTTGGATGCTCGATAAATTTGTAACTTTGGCAATGTTAATGGAATTAGCATGCTTCAAATGAAGAGCTTGTCAGATCATTAAACAGGGTCTCAAGCCCCCCACTCCACACACACACACAACATCCCCTTTTTGGAACTGGAGAGCTGTGTTTGACAATATTCGTAGCTTCCCAAAATTGACAATAACAGTAACAAGCATAACAACAGGTGTGCGGAGGTAAGAAAGTGGAAGGATTTTAACTTAATCTGAAGTTGTCGCTCAAGCTGCCTTATGTCAGTTTTCACATATTATTCATGTTACAAACTGAGTGTAACACCATGAATGCCTTTGAGGAGAGACTGTCCAAAGGCCTTTACTATTATTGATTGATAAGTGATTCATAATTGTGCCTATGAGTCATTGACAGATTGACACTTTGAACTAACTAATGTTCGAAGCATCCTGATGCCTTAAATACCACTGTGCTTTTCGCTGTGACACTATTAAGATACCTACACACAGTACAGTAGATGCAGTCTCAGGGATATTACCTGTAATATTAAGGTGAAAAAATATTGAATCATCAGCTGTATCACACACGTATTCTCCAGAATCTTCTACTCCGCTGGAAATAATCCAAAGTCGTCGATAAGGCCCTTCAGTCTTGAGCTTGATGTTCTCACTTTCTTGCAGCTTTTGACCATCTTTGTACCAGCTAACAATGCCATTGGGACGAGACAATTCGCAGCTCAGAATAATTTCCTCAGGGACATGACGGTCGAGGTGGACATCTTCATTGGGGTAGATGATCATCACTGGAGGCTCTTTAGAGGAGGAAAATGAAAGATCATCGGTACATTCTTCACTTCTGAACACAGGTGAAGTTTAAATGATTTTTGTGCAATATTTATGTCATGCACTTTTAGAGAACCCATAGTAAGATAAATTATTACCTCGTATGTTAACCTTGTAGATTAAAATGTTGTCTCCTGCACGACATGTGTAGGTGCCTGTGTCAGACAGCTGGGCTGAATGTATGTTCAGGTGTCGTTTGGTGCCCTCTGCTAGCATTGTAACATTATTGCTTGGTTGCATTTCAGTTCCATCTTTGTACCACTGGACAACACCATCAGGCCTTGATATGATGCATGATAGAACAAACTGTTCTTTTTCTACAGCACTCTTGAAAAGATCCTCCTCTGGGATATCAGCAAATGTTACTGGCGGTGCTGAATAAAACAGTACACAAAACAAGTAAGTTTATGTTCACACACTGATTAGCAGTAGACATGCATTTCTAACTTAGACATAGTAAATTCAAGCCTCGCTTTTTAGATGACAACTCCTCAGACATAATCATGGTTTACTATTAGCAGTGTTCATGCAGTTTTGAAGCAAAGTGAAAACATTAATTGAAGCAGTGCACTGTTGTAATGCAGTTACCATAAACTCATTGGGGAACAAACTCATCAAAATGCGTGCTATTTTTTCAGACACTGGCCTTAAATGTGAAGCATGTATATGAAAGACAACTAAATGTTTAATGAAATTAGATCATTTAGAGGGAAATTAGGTCATTTAAAAGGAAATCAGCTACGATGAATATGATTGCTTTCTTTTTAGATATTAGAGCTCATGAAGGTTTAAACTGTAAGACTCGACAGTGACTTCTTGCCAAGAAAAAGCTTAGCATATCACCTTTCACCTCCGCACAGAAATTGTTGATTTCTGAATCATCGGTTTTACAACTGTACACCCCCAGGCATGAAGATGTGGCCAACTTCATAACCGGTGTCCCCTTATTGCCCTCTGAATGGACGTTTAGTTTCGATTTTGGAAAGAGTTTTACTCCATCTTCACACGAGCAGGTCTGGATTGCAGGCTCTGAGATCTCACACTGCAGTTTGCTCAGGTTGCCTGCTTCAACAGACTTGTTCCTTTCAGACTCTGGAACAGCTGAGAATCAAACCGGTGCTATAGGAATTTCAGTTCATTGAAAGATAACTAGAGAGTACTCAGATTTGCTATTCTATGCTATGATTTGGTGTCACAAGCTAAAGGCTGTACATTTTGATATTTGGCTCCACATTGAACAGGGGGTATAAAAACTGTTGGTGCATGCACAGGCTGACAGCGAGATCACTCAGTTACTTTTACTCTGCCAGAGTCATGAGCTCATGGACTCACACGCAATAATAAAACCCAAATCAGGCCAGTTTCTAAGCATCTGTTATAATGTTGTACACTTTGTGCACTTGACAGGCAAAACTGGATTTGTTTCCTCTCTTTCTATTTGCTAGATTTTCTGCTTCTTTGTAAAATGTTTGTTGTATATACAGATGTTGTACAGCCATAACACCCTGTCAGACCACTTCCTGCTCTCTATCCCGCAGGAAGTGCAAAGTTTGGCATATTCAAAAATTGAAACTAATGTGATAAATATGTAAAAACAACACTTACATAGTGTTACCTTGTAAAAATGTTAGTAACAGTCATCTAGTTACACACCTTCAAAAATGTGGTGTAATATTCATCTCTTTTTAGGTCTGTTTTGGTCTCTTTAGCTGTGAAATGCTTCATTATATTCATTAGCTATTGTAGCTGCTGTCTTGGCCTGTTTGTCATGTAGTGCCTGGCAGGTATTGTTCAGCCTCTTTATCAGTGGCTATAAACAGTTGCCTGTTGTCACACCCTTAAATTTTCTGTTGTGACATATACTGTGCATACCAAAATAATAAACATAAATACCAGCACACATTATCTTAGAATATTATCTAAAAATAAACACTGTAGCCTAGGCTGGTCTAGTATCCAAGCATGAATGAAAGAAGTTAGTGATTTTGAAGCTCAGAATACTTAGATCACCTGTAACATCCACCTTGAATTCTATATGGTCGTCCATGGCCTCACAGCTGTACACACCAGAATGTCTGACTTCTGCTGATTGGATAACCAGTGCTCTCAGTTTTTCTTTTGATTGGATTTCATATTCGCTCTTTGGAAGCAGCTCTTCCCCATCCCTGTGCCAAAAGACTTGTGCAGCTGGCTCTGAGACTTCACACTGCAGTTTAACTGGGCACCCTGCCTCAATAAGTTGGTTTCTTGCGATCTCAGGATGTGCTGAAAACTTCACAGGAGTAGCTGGGGATATTATAAGATTTGCAGAGCACTGCTGTTAAGGATATATATGTTAAAGGGAGCTCTGTGCTTTTATACACTTACTATTACAGTTATGGAAGGAAATGCTAAAATATTTGTCTTGCACCAGGTACCTTCTTAATTAAAACTGAATATAAGAAAATCACCTTTAACATCCACATGAAATGTCACAATGTCGTCAGCAAGGCTACAGCTGTAGAGGCCAGAGTCAGAGACCTTAGCGGAATGAATCATTAGTTTTCTGTAGTTGCCGTTTCTTTTCATATCAAGGCCTGTTCTGCTAAACAACTCCACCTCATCTTTAAACCAGGAAACCTGGGCAACAGGGTTTGAGACCTCACACTGGAGGACGATTGGACAACCAACTGCGATCATCTTGTATTGTTCTGACAGTGGGATTGGCAAAATTTGTGGTGATCGGCCTAAAAGAAGAGAATACCAAAGTTTAGGATAAATGATGAAGTCACTAACACACTGCCCAGCCAGTAACAGCATGTTCTCATGAACATTCAAACTCCTCACGCCACAAACATGGACATGTTATGTATAAAAGACAATAGTAAGGACCAAAATAAATCACCTTTTACATCCACTTTAAATGTGGAGGTGTCATCTGATGTTGAACATTCATAGGTGCCACCATGTATATCTTCAGCTGAATGGATGACTAGTGTCCTCCTTAGACCATCTGACTGTATTTCCACATTGTTTTGAGGCATGAGTTTCATCCCATCCTTGTACCAGTCGACATGAGTAGAAGGATCACGAGAGAGGTCACAGCTGAGGACAATGGGAGTGCCTTCTTGGACGGACTTATTGCTGTCAGTTTCTTGAACCTCTGAGAACTTCACAGGCAATGCTACAGGTTAATGCAAAAAGAGTGTTTTAATAAACTAAGTTAAATTTCTTAAAGTTATTAAATATCCAACCTACTGCATTTTGAGTTGCAAAGATTATGGGATAGAAATTGAAGATAGAAATTGAAAACAGACAGCAAAGATAAAAAAAAATAAAAATAAAAATTACAAAATTAAAGGGCCAAAAAAGCAAGAAATCAAGTTGGGAACCTGTTACTGTGCACCAACATAACAACCATGGACAAAAATACACAGGTAAGACACAAAAAATAAAGTACTTATGGTAAAGGAGCTGTGCTCAGTTAGTGCCTTTGATGAAAAAGAAAGAAACGCTCGCCTTCTTAAATTTTTAGACATGCAGAATTCCACAAGGCTGAATATCCAGTAACATGTTTGGAAAGAAGACTTCCTATATTAAATATTTTAACTTTTGTTCAAATGTTAAATGTGATATCTGACATAAGTTTACAAATTAAAGGTATACATTAAATCAAGTACTTAAAATTTGCCTTACAGAGAACCCCTGTTGCTTTACAGTTTTAGAAAAGTCGATCAAATTTGGGTGCGAGTCAATGAAGTGCCACTACTTCTGAGCATCACCTTTTACTTCCACAGCAAACTGGATGTCGTCATCCTTTGACTCGCAGTGGGACACACTGGTGTGAGCTTGCTCTGCTGCTGGCACAGCTAGACTCTTCAAGTTTCCTTCTGACTGGATTTCTACTTCACTTTGTTTTGGGAGGTTTGTTCCATCCTTGTACCATCTGACCTTTCCAGTGGGATCTGACAGCTCACATCGCAGAGCAATGGGGCAGTCTGTTGTGACTTTCTTTTTCTGGTCAGCCTCATCTATAGCTGAAGAATTCAGAAGTGAAGCTAGAGGAATGAATGTAAAGCAGAACTGGTCAATAAAACAAGTACTGTTGTTAATACCATTAAGCACAAATGTGAAAACAAAACCTCCAGTTTCATTTTCTTGACAAAGCACTGTGCTTCTACAATGCATTCTCATAGGAACTTCAGAAATAATTCATTCATTCAGCAGATATCAAGCCTTAAAGTGAGTGGTACTGTATCTTCACGATATATCTGCTTGATTGAAATGTCAATCATATGCCACCGAGAGTCAAAGTTCCATCCCCTGTTCCAGCTACACTTTGTTCCATTAGCCTCCGCCAAAGGATATTTTATCTCTAAATGGTCTTTTATCAGTCTTTCTGAAAAAACAAACAAACTAACTGCACTAGTGGGTGGATAGGTTTTAATTAGGGACCTATTGTGTATTTTGATTGAGTTATAGACTGGAATGAGAGAACACATTCCACCTTTGTCCTACTCCCAAGTGTTCACTTATAGATTTTTATAAGTTATTGTTACTGTGTTACTGCATTGCTCATACACTGATATTTGTGTGGTCTCTTATTCTATACAGAACTCATGTGACCACATTAAACTGATTTTATCCAAACAGTGATAAAGAGACGAAAATTGTTTATTTATTAATTTTTTACCTTATGGCACCATCTTAATCTTTGCTATTGTTCTGTTTCTTGACATAGAAAACTGTACAGCCTGGGTACCTTAGATAGATGTGATTAATCTATTAAAAACCTAATAATAAAACCTGTATTTAGTACTGTATCAACAAAACAAACATTTGGATGCATTTTACCCTCACTAAAATCTATTTGCAAAGCAGATGAAAATCATTTCTGACACCTTTGACATCCACATGATACTGCGATGCATCATCAGTTGTCTTGCAGCTGAAAGTCTCTGCATCAGACAGCACTGCTGACTGGAAAGCCAGGGTTCTTATAGAACCCTCTGCTAGCGTGTCTTGTCCAGCTGCTTCATCTAAATTTATTTCATCCTTGTCCCACGTAGCTTGAGCGTTAGGATCTGATATCTCACAATGCAGCATTATGGGTTCGCCAACTTCAACAGACGTCTTCTTCTCAGCCTCACAAAAAGTTGCAGTTGTCACAGGTGGAGCTGGGGATGCTTGAACTAACATCAAGAGAAAATTGTATCAGTATGGCTGCCTACAAAAAATGATACTTTCTAACAACAGAAGAGCAAAATCTCAACTCAAATTTAGTCATGCCAATAAGTCTTAAGAGTTAAAATAGGTCCATATAAATTATATGTCTTCGTGTTATATTAGTAGTCTAACAAGAGCTATCTTTGGTCAAACTTGATATTACTAAGCATTCAAGTTAGGATCTAAAGCTAAAGGATCTAAGCTAATAACCTGTTTCCCTATTTTTAATTCCTTACAAACCACCCAAGCTCAAAGTTTTACTAAAGTAGTTTTAGTATGGTCGAATCAAGTAAGTAAATGCAGAAATTGGCAAAATTTCAAAGATTGCAAAAGCAATCTCTTAATTTTACACAATATCGACATTGTGCCTGTCCATTTTTTGTTTGATAATGCTAACCATTTAAATCACCTTCAACAGCCACCTTATTTGCAGTGACACTGTCACTCCATTGACTGTCACGTGTCCTTGATAGACAGATCTCTTCTGATCGGTCCATAGATGCCTGTTTGATTGAGACAGGCTCTGCGAACTGGGTAGACAATCTTTGTCCAGAGCTAACTGCGTTGTCAGCTTGGTCATCTGTGGCCTCCATGGTGTGATGACACTCTGCTTGGACTGCTGTGGCCTGCATTGACTGACACAGCACCTCTGAATAGTTATGTGCTGCTTGTCTTGGGTGATAAACGTCATCCGTATGGGCATATGCAGACTGTCTCAAGTTGCAATGCTCAGCTGGCCCGACAATTTCTGCCTCTTTACAGTTATACAAGTCCAATGATTGAGGAGATGTGGTTTTAAGGATGTCACTGTGCTTCTCAGATTGGTCAGTTGATGTTTGCAGAGGTCTGTTTAACTCCACCGATTGGTCAGTTGCAGTCCATAAGGACTTACACAGGCCCTCTGAATGCACTCTTTTAGTTTGTAAGCAATCCAGAAGCTCCTCAGGACACCCGACAGCTGGCATCTTTATAGAGCCACACAGCTCCTCTGATTGGACAGATGCAGTACATAGGGTTGCAAAGGGCTCCTCTGATTGGGTGGTTACAGTCTGTAAGGATTTAAAGGGCTTCTCTGACTGAACTGTTGCCATGTGTAATGATGTAACGGGTTCCTCTGATTGGACAGTTTCAGTTTTTAAAACGTTACACAGGTTGTCTGATTTGAATGTTGAAACCTGTAAGTGGTTTGTAAGGTGCTCTGACTGCCCAGTTGAAGTTTGTAGGGGGCTAGCTAACTCTGACTGGGCAGATGGCATCTGTACTGAACTATGTAGCTCTTCTGATTGAACGGATAGCGTCTTGAAAGTAGATTCCTCTGATTCAACAGTTCCAGTGTGCAAAAAATTACACAACTCATCTGTCTGGACAGCCGTCTGCAGGGAATTATCAAGCTCTTCAGATGGACCTTCTGCATGCTGTATATAGTAAATGAATTCCTCACCTTGTGATTCGTTGAGATGTTTAGTGCAATGGTGTTTGTTAGACTGCATAACTGTTGTATTTGCAGAGTTAGACTGTACTGGGGGTTGTCCATTTCCTGTTTGTTGATTATTAGAGATCTCACTTGGCTGTTCAGTTGTAATCCGGTCAGTCATATATTCACATGTTGACTGAGAAGTTGCCATATGCCTGGAATGGTCTTCATATGTCTGACTCTCTCCTCTCTTGCAACTGAAGATGCCAGAATTGCATTCTGAGGACGTGCAGATAACTTCAACAGGATAGGCCTTTTCAGTGGACGTGTTCTTCTCTTGGTCAGAAGACAGCCGTGGTGATGCAGCTACAAGCATTGTGATGTACACAGAGAAAGGTTTTCAGTTGTTGATGGTCTCAATACTTCTTCTCATAACAGAATTTTACATCAGTGCGGGTTAGCATGGAGTTACGGGATAATCCATTGCAAAGACAAACAAGAAGGTCGACCAGGTTTGGTCTTAGATTGAGCTCCAATATTTCCCCTTTCAACTGAATCCTTATATTGTTATGCCATCAACAGTTAAAAACCTTTTAAAAAGTACATTAATTTTCTTCTATTTGATAAGAGTTCGTTGTCATTGCAACAGGTAGAGGTTCAGGGCAGCGAGAATGTGAATGAGAGGATCTGGTGGTGAATAAGACATAAGATGGACTTAAAGAGTTGTGAGCTGCTTGTTGCGAGCAAAGATGGCTATTAAAATGAAGAATGAACAGTGAAAAGCACAACATATATGTTAGTATGAGAAGCAGCTGCTCAGCTACTAAACAATCATGTTTGATTAAGAGCCAAAAACTGCAAGAAATGACTTGAGGTATGACAACGTGACAAGAAGCTAATTAAAAATAAATAAATAAATAAAGATGCCTCAGATGATCACACCAACATTAATATAGACCACTATTGTTAGTGGCATTTATGTGCTGGGTTAACATGGATGACTGATGTTCTAATATATCAAATCACCTCTGATATCCATCGTGCATTGGGCAGATGCATCAGCAATCTCACCAATCTCATCACGATAGTGACACTGCTCTGCTGTTTGGACAAAGCCAAAGAAAAAACAATGAGATGGGTAATATCTTCAAGTATGCAACAAAATTCTGACTCTTAATTGTGCGGGTACATTGTGAAACACCACCTGTCATCTCCTCATTTATTTGTGCATCACCAGATGTTTCACTGCCAAACCTCTCTTCATCAGACATGTCCTGTGAATGGACTGTCAAGACTTGGCTGCTTCTCTGTGATTCACAGTCACTTTCCCTTATTGGGTAGATCTGGGTTCCATCTTTGTACCAACAGGCTTTGGCAATGGGATCTGAAATCTCAAATTGTTGGACAATTGGGCAGTGCGCTTCAGCAAACCTGATCTTCTCAATTTCAGGGCCAGGCTGATATGTCAGAGGTGGCTCTAGAGACAGTCGTTGGGGGATAATTTCAGTGAATATTATCTTTGATTTTTTTCATAGAATTATTCAAAAGAGATACTGTCACAGATATCAACTCTGTATTGTAATAAAAAGAAGTCAGACTACAAACCACATAAAGAAAGCTGGCTTAGAAAACACGTTAAAAAAGAATTCACCTTGATTTTTTACAATCAACTGGGCAACATCAGCTGCTGTTGCACAGTAGTATGCTCCAGAGTTTGAAGGATGAGTTGGTTCAATAACAAGTGTCTTCTCGATGCCTCCCTTTTCAGAATCAGACTCTGTATTAGAATCATGTTCTTTATCCCTCTGCCATGACACCTGGAGAGCAGGGTCTGGGCTCTCACATGTCAGTTCAGTGGGGCTGGTTGCTTCAGGTGACTGCGTCTCCACAACATGTGATGAGGGTGTCGGCGATATTGGAGCTAAAGATGATGATTCATATTATAATTGTAAACTTAACAGTGCATAATTAGACACTAATTAGAAAAGGGGTTCATCTTCCCCAAAGGAGGAACTAGGCCAAATTCAAGGAGAGGATTTCACATTCAGGCAATACAGAGATATTTTCATTTGGTCAGTAAAGATTCATTTTACCAAACAGAAGCAGTTACAGATATGCATATAAACGTTAGTCACACTGAATCTCCAGATAGCTCTAGAATTTGATCTTAGATTTAAAAAAGAAAAGAATAACAATCACCTTTAATATCCACAGTGAAATTGACTGTGTCATCAGAGGATTCACAGCTGTATAGCTCTGAGTGCACGAGCTCAGTAGATGGGATAATTAGTCTCCTCAATGCTTCATTACTCTGTATATCCCAGCTATTCTGTGGGGATAGCTTTACGCCATCTTTATGCCAGCAGACAGGCACAGGGGAGTCTGCAACTTCACATTCCAGCTCTAAAGGCGACTTGGTTCTCTCATCGTCAAAGATAGTAGAGTTCAACTCCGGTATAGCTAGCATTGGGAATTGAGGACAGCCATATAAAATCAAGACTGTAGAAAATAAAAACCTTGCAAAAATGTAACTACTGAGCAGAAGATGAAAAGGGCTTTGAAACCATTAATTCAGGGTGAGTCACAGCAGTCAAAAAGCAGACTATCATAAATAGTAATCACCTGATGTGTTAACAGTTCTTTAAGCTTATGTGTTATGAAACAGGCCTTGAAACCACATACAGTACAAGCAGGGATTTTTTGTTGCATCTAGAAAGAGGAAGTGGGGTTACAATATAGAGGCGCGATAAAAAGTGTAAAGTCACCTTTGATCTCCACGTGAAACTCCACAGTATCGTCCTGCGTGGTACATCTGTACACACCAGAGTGGCATAGCTCTGCAGACTGTATAACCAACGTCCTCGTGTTGTCCTCTGAGTGGATTTCTAATGCAGAGTTTGAAATGAGCTGTATTTCATCCTTGTACCAACAAACCTGGGCCTCAGGATCCGACACCACACACTGCAGTACAATAGGGCAGCCTGCTTCCATAAACCTGGTCCTCATCTCCTCAGGAATTGCTGAGAATGTCACAGGTGGAGCTAAAGATATGTTTAGATCTTATGTCAGCTTTAAAACAACACACTGTCAGCTGTTTAGATTATTCATCACAATCTATTTACTGACAAATAATTTGCCAACATGCTTTAATGCCATGAGAAAATGTGAATGCTTATCTGAACTTTAAATATGTGTTAAGAAGAAATGCATTGAACAACATACAAGAGCATAATAGGAGTTAGCTGCTTTGCTGATGAGGAGTTGGTCAAAGTTTAAAGTAAAACAAATCACCTTTGATGTCCACATTGAATGTCATAGTGTCGCCCTTTGTCTTGCAGCAGTATAGCCCAGCGTGGAAGAATTCTGCTGAATGGACAACCAGTTCCCTCACCACACCATCAGTCAGAATATCTACTCCATTTTGAGGATGGAGCTTTGACCCATCTTTGTACCAGTGCACTTGGGCAGAGGGATCTGAGAGCTCACATTGTAAAACAATGGGGCAGCCTTTTTGGATGGTTATGTTCCTCTCAGTGTCTGGAATTGCTGAAAACCTCACAGGTGGGGCTATAGATATTTAGATATTTTAATGGATCATTATACTATAAAGATCGTATATTTTGATACGTCAGACTTTAATACATGCAGCAAGAAATAGGTGTAGAATGGCAATAAAGATGGTTAGTCTTTGTGAAAGACACTGCAACCGAAGAAGAGAAAGAAATTCAGAAATTCACTACACTGACCTTCCACTTCCACATTGAACCTGATGACATCGTCAATGGCATCACAACAATACACTCCTGAATGTGAGAACTCTGCTGACTGAATGACAATTCTTCTCATGGTCCCCTCTGATTGGATGTGAAGACCCTCCATTGTTTGTAATCCCACCCCATTCTTGTACCAGTGCACTGGAGCTGCAGGGTCTGACAGCTCACAGTAGAGCACAATGGGGTGCCCTACTTCTACAAATTTATTTCGATCCATTTCCGACAGTTGTGAAAACTTGACAAGAGGAGCTGCAAATATTAGAAAAACAATGAGAACTTAGTCTTATCTCTCTGAGTCTTGTCACAAAGGATAATAAACTGGAAGATATGGTTTGTTAGTGTCATCTTGCATTGCATTTTTTGTGCATCTATTGTTCTACATTCCAATTAAACCAGGACAAAACAACAAAAATGCATTAAACTAAACTTAGACTGCCCAAGACACTTATGCAGGCAAACAATTGTGACACACACATACCTTGAATGTATAGTGCTGCAGAATCACGGATGCCATAGGCAATAAATGTAATCTCAGCTCCATTGTCTGTATCACGTACACCTCGAATGCGAAGAGATTGGTGTGTTCGTGACCTACGCATGGAAAAGCGTTCATCCTCCTGAAGCTGAGTACCATTTAAGTACCATGTACCAATAACTGAAGCGGAGAGCTCTATAGAGAAGACAGCATCTTGCCCCTCTGGCACTAAGGCATCCTGTAAGGGAGCTTGTATTCTGACCACTGGAACTGTAAAAAAAAATCTGTTTGTACAAGCAGAATTTTCAACCATGTTGATGTTTTAATTAACAGATTTTTAAAAATGCATAGTTGTTTTAGTATAACTGAACTTACCCAAGTGAACAGCTTTGGGGAACTCGACGTTGTTGCTCTTTCCATATTTGTTGACGCTACAAATGCGGAATCGATAATCTGCTTCACACGGTACGCTGTCACCAAGGATCTCCACAGAGGTTGCAGAGTCAGTGGTCAGGCACTGTACCCATTCCTGTGAGCCAGTGCCCATTTCCTGACGCTCAAGAACATATCCAGAAGGAGGGTTCTTACGAGAGTCCTGAGCGGGAATCCATGACAGAAGAGCAGCATTAGCACGCTCTGTGTTGATCTGCACACCCACTGGACAACTAGGAGGACAATGTCTGGCCGCTGAAAAAAGAGAAGCCTACATGCATCAACCTCCCTTTGGACTGGAATGATGGATACATACACATTCCAACACAGATATTGTAATTGAAATTCTGTAATTTATAGGGATCAAACCTTTGACTCTTAGCTGCGAGGAGGTCTTGGATCTGCCTACAAGGAAAGTCACAAGGCCAGAGTCTTGGGGCATTGTATTGACAAAAACCAGGATGTGAGTTCGACCAAAAGACTTAATGATGGTCTGATGGGTTTCACGCAGCTCTACCCCATCTTTGTACCAGTGTATGTCCATCTCTTCTTTTTCCACTTCAACACAAAAGGCAGCATTTTCACCTTCCAAGACATCCACTTTTCTTGGAAGCTTTCGCAAAATTGTACCTGCAAAGAAACACTTTGGAGGGTTATTCTTTAGCACATTCACAGGACAAGGATTCTGATTATGGACAACAAACCCTACAAATACACTGAATACTTCGTTAAGGGTAAGGGACATTTGATGTTATGGATAAATTACTTGCTACATGTTTAAAGTTAGGGACCAACTGTGATATTGGCCAAAACAATAGGCACTTTCAGACCAGGGACTACCCCACTACGGACCCCTCCCCCCCCAAAAACGACATATCTTCAAGAACATTTTTCTGTTTGTAGTTGCATCCCTGTAGGAATGCTGAAGTGATGTAAGCTTGCTGACAAGCTAGCAATGGAAAATGTCCAATGTCAGACCTATCAACATACACTTTCATCACTCATAGTTCCTGTTGTGCCGAGTATTTACCTTGGAGTAGGTGCTAAAAAACGTTATGACTATTCTCAATTTCTGCAGTGCGGAAACACAAAAGAGGAGGTACGTTTTCCAGCAGTTCTAAGAACTATGACTAAAACTGAGTCATCAGACTGCCACTGTGCATTTACACAACAACCACTGCTGCCACTGCCACCGGTTCTCATATACGTTGCATCTGTATTGTGCTTCTCAAATAAAGCTATCATTACTTGTTTCTCATTTACCTTTTACAGCTACCTCTGCAATGCTTCTCCCCCCATCTGGCATCTCGCAAAGGTAAATCCCATCATCATCGACTCCGATGTCCCGGATAGTTAGTCGCCTTTTTGTTCCCCACTCCTCCATCCCATATTTGGCCCCTGGCTGCAGTCGTCTATCCTCCAAATACCATGTGATGGGAACAGAGTCCTCTGGCACTTCACACTCAAGAACAGCCAAATCTCGCTCCCATACTTCTAGATCAATGAGAGGCTGCTTGAACCGCACAAGCGGCTCTGAGAGCATGGTGAAGGAAGAACACCAGTTTGATTATGTCAGTATGCCTTTTAATGACATTAAAAAAAAAAACAAGCTTATTCACTTTAATCTGTCAAATGGCATTAGTATCACTTCATCAATAAAAATTCTTTGGGCAAGTCGACACTAAAAACTCAGTCATAGCACATCATCAATGTCCTTGTAGTTAACGCTGCAAATTGAAATATATTTGGCAGTAAATTAGAATAAAGGACACAAGATGAGCAAAATTTTGAGACAAGTGGGTTATTTAGTTGAGGAATGGAGAGGTCATTAACACATCAGGGTGTTAGGTAGGAAATAAAGTGTTTGTAACTGACACCATCAAATAGTACTAGACAGTTGTAAACAAAGGAGTGTGGGCTGTATTTAGTTTGTATACAAAGCTCTTTATTTCCTTCTCTTAGCAGTGTTTGTAACATGTAAGTATGCAGTACCTTCAGCCTTTAAATCACCTTTAAATCAGTCCTCACCCCACCTGACTCTATCTCTGCCTGATACAGTACTTGTTGTTGGTGCCATGTATTTGGACTTACAGGGCATTCGTTCTCCACACAGTAGCTCACCCATTGGGGATCCTCTATTAATTCCGTGTGGGAATGGTTCATGCCGGGTCCGACTATCAGGACTCCCACCGCTCTCTCTTTCTGTCTCTTTTCCTTTTCTTTCTTCTTCTTCTTCTTCTTCTTTATTATTATCATTTATTATTAGTTATTAGTTGTATTTTCCCAACTGTAATGGGTATTTTCATGTATTTATTTTGGTTGCTGAATTAGGTTTTTTGGAAAATTGACACAAAGCTTCTTCAGGAAAATTTGATTAAAACTGTACCGACAATACCTCTTTATACCTCTTTAAAAAAATAAACAAGTTTACTATAATGAAGCTTTCAGCTAATCTTCTGTCCACTTCTATTTTTGATAGCCTCAATATACTGCCATAAAACTTGTTTGCCTTGGGTCTTTGACTCTACCCCAGTAAATGGTTTCAGAGAACCTAAGATAACTCACTGACATCATCGTGTCATCAGATGAATAGAAATAAGATCCAAGAACACACCACACTATTAGTCACTTCTTTCCTTGCTGAAAAAAGCATCGCAGGCTAGAAGTGTGTCTGTATTTACTCAGTAAATCAAACTTAGGTTTTTATTTTTACATTTTTCAAAATTGAAACTCTGAAACCACTCAACCACTCAAAAGGATCTTGACTTACCCTTTACAGAGAGGTGTACAGCGCTGATGGTTTGCCCTGCAGTATTTGATGCAGCACAAACATAAACTCCATTATCCTTCTGCTTGCAGTACAGAACTTTAAGTGTGAAATATCCTTCTCTGTCCTCATATAACAAATAACGCCTTCCAGACAGTATCAGCCTACCGTCTTTCCTCCAAATTATTTCTGGTTTGGGTTTACCAGTCACAAAGCAGCGGAATTTGGCATGTTTGCCCTCTGTCACTGCAAACATTTTTACTTGAGTTGACTTAATCAGGGCGTCATCTTTGAGGCGGTTGAGCACTGGCCTACCACTCCTCTGTTTTCCCTGGTGGGCTTTCCAGTGGCCATTTGTGTAGCCGTTACGATTTCCTTCTTCCTCATGTCCTGGGCCTGCATCAACAAGCAACACAGCTCCTGCCAATGCTTCGCCAAACTCGTTCCTGGCTTTGCATGTATATACACCACCATCTGGTGCACGAGTCTTAAAGATCTTGAGCAGGAACCATCCACCATCCTGGTAGCCCACACTAAAATGTGTGCTCTCAAATATTTCATTCAGTTTCTTGCCATCCTTTTCCCAGACAACCTCTGGTCGTGGGCTTCCCCAGAGCTTACAAGAGAAGACAGCATCATCTCCACGACCGGCACGAGTGGAGAGGGGTTTGATGAGGAATCGTGGCTTGTTTTCCTCTCGTAGTTCCATCTCTTGTGCTTCACCTTCCACCTTCAGTGTGGCCGCTGCATATGTTTCCCCAATGCTGTTCTTTGCTTTGCATATATACTGACCACTATCATCTGTGGCCACAGCAGAAATGATGAGGTTGTAAACATTTCCATCCTCAAAAACCCTATATCGTCCTTGTGGGTCAATCTTTTCATTATTTCGCTCCCAGATAACTGCAGGCCTTGGATCACCACCAATTTGACACTTCAGGACTGCATCAGTCCCACTGTGCACCACCACAGGTCTTGGATAGGCCAAGAAACGCGGGGCACCACCAAACACATCCATTTGTGCTTCTCTGTTAGCCTCACTCCAGCAGTCCAGGAGAGCAACAAATGTCAGTTATTCTCTGGGACAAGTTGGTCCAACTCCTTCGCTGCAAACTTCTAAAAGCAGAATAACAGAGAGATTACTTTAATATCAAACAGCTTGTGTTTTTGAGATAATACATACCAAACTGTAAAATTTAATTTTATAGGAACTCTAAATAAGATTATACTTTTAGCATTCCTTCAATAAGAATATTAACCCCTATATTTTAGATTAAAAAATATCTGTCATTCAAAAACTCAGCCTCCGCCTGCTTTACATGCATGTGTTTCAGCACAAATGGATGGTATGATTATTAGGGCTAACTGAATTAGATCTGTCTGCATGAGAAAAAGCACATGCTAGCAGTGAGAGGGGAGAACAGCAGCCACACATAGCCAGTACAGCTGGTGCTGTATTTCAATGGGAAAGTGCTTAATATAGCACATCCTAAATAAAGAAGTGCAAGGGAGTGTGTGTCAGGTATCACAAAGACGTGTCTGAAACCTGCACGCTCACGCAAACACCAGCAGAAATCATAGTCTGTCCACTCAAGAGGCATTGTAGTCAAAATATGATGAGCTTCATTCACACTCTTTGTTGGCAGCTCTAAGGAATTCCTTCTTTAAATGTCAGTTAATTCTTCTGTCATAATTCTACTGAAATATCTGTTTCAAATGTCAGCTGTTCCTACAAGTGTTTATATCAGTTTGTAATTCCCTCTCTCTCACTGAAAGCTTTCCTTTTGACCATGTGTGTAATTCTAGATTTTTAATTAGCAATTTTCGGTTGTGATATTGGGCTATATAAACAAAACTTTGCTTGATGAGCTTTAGAACATAACAGAATCTATTCATCAGTAAGCTGAGTCTATGTGTTTTGGGACAATCCCCAGAGTGTTGTAACAGGAAACAAATTTTCAGGTCCAACAGACGTTTATCTCAGGATTGGTTTTTTGAAACAACCTGCTTCTAATATTTCTGTTTGAATAGATCATTTTTCTGAAACATTTAATAACAATATAATAGTAATCATAATAAAATATTCTTATTTTCCAAATATTCATACCCCATCTTAACCTATATTCTTATTACCTTTCAATTCTTAAGTAAGATGCACGTCAACTAAAAGAAGAAATAAAGCTTCTCTTTGATTATATTTAACCTAAAATCTCTCAACATTGTATGTAAAACTAATATAAGAAAGTAAAAACAAAGCTTACAATGGTTGCTTTTATTGCTTAGCATTCAGAAGATAGATAGATAGATAGATAGATAGATAGATAGATAGATGGATAGATAGATACTTTTTTAATGCGGCTTAGACATTGCATTGAGTGTGCTGTAAGTATTCCATGGGGAGGTTTAAAGAGTGGAGATTAACCCCTATGTTTACTTGTCAGATTTAATTGGAATGGCCTCTGCCCCTTGTGAAGCTGTGCTGTGTGCCCCCCACATGACCTACCTCGCTTCAGTCGCCAGGAACCACCGTCAACATACATTCCGCAGTTGCAATCTTCCTTCGAGTTAAGACCCAGTGCCACCCTTCTCCTGAACGCTGAGTAATGTGCCTAGTTGACTTTAGATTCAGACACAAGCTCTCCTCAAAGGTCCCAAGTTCCACTCCAGTACATCTTGGTAAACGCCTGTCCCATAGTGGTGAGAGAAAACAGAACTTCGGTATCCACACCAGCTTGCTGTTTGAACTTGAGAGTGGTCCCCCGATCTCTGTGTGGTTCAGACTTCAGACACCCCAAGTGTCATTGTTCATGGAATACCATTAAATGCTTTTGCAGCTGCTGCTGTCCCCTAAAAATACTGGCTGCCTCGATGACAGCAGTGAAGATAAGTCAGGCACTTCCATTCACTTGCCAGCGGCTGCTAAAGATAGTTCAGGTGGTCAGTGCTGAAGAGAGTAGGCTTATGCTACTTGAAATTTTACAATAAAAGGTATAAGGAGAAGAGCTAAACATTCTAAAGCTTGCCTGCATTAAATCCTACACATTTATTTTATTTATGCCATATAGTCTATTATCTTTTATAGAGACTGTTGCAGACGGTGTACTGGCAGAAAGGAAGCATCAGAACAGAAGTAATAATTTGATCATTTACCCATAAGAATGGATAGAAGAGTATGAAGTTTTGGTTTCTATAAACTTCATATCTCGATGAAGTAAAATACCAGTAATTTGTATAATCATAAATACATTAATACAGTATGTAGAAGTACAAACTCCACCAGTGTTGCTACTGTATGTGAAAATCATTTTTGCAGGAACATGATAGTAAACCCTTTTTGGCACTTTAGAAAATGCAGTATTTATAAATTTGCTGATTATGGCAACACATTTTATAGAAGAGTGTTGCAAGTTATTTGTACAAGCCTTTAGTGTCCAGCTTTTACTTTGCTGGGAGCGTTTCCACTGCTGTGCTAATTATGACATCTTAAGAGAGCATAGTCTTAGTTCAGGTAAAGCAAGCTTGCATTACCTACTGCAGTGGACATTAATTCATGTTTAACCACCATTCGAAGGGTATGGACCCAACATAGTCACACAAGTGTACCATTAGAACTTCTCTCTATTTCTCACCTTACTCACCTCCACCACGCAAACCTCCTCTTTATGTACTAATTTCATGGTACTATTATTAATGTCATCTCTTTAAGGGAATTTGTCAAAGCCTGTTCACAGGTGCTGGTGACTACAGTGAAACAAGTTGTATGAGGAGGTGAAGTCTGATAAATGTCCTCAAGTGATGTCACGTCAGTCAGCATCTCGTGGGTCTGAAGACTACAAGTTTGAAAATATGGATGTGTAGATTTGGAGCATGTGATGGAAGCTGAAATCAGTTTGCTTCCAGTTGTGCGTGTGTACGTTATGGATGCCCTACTACCCAAGCCTTTAGAAGTGTCATCTATGACAAGGTATCTTGAGCACAAATGTACTGATTATGTTTTCATCATTTTCAGCCAGGACAACTGTGAGTTGACAGCCAGATGTAATATTTGTCAGTATAAGAGTATTGTCATCCCATGCAAATACTCACAGTACTGGCACCTTACAGTGCAGAGCATGCATGTGTTGGCAAGTGCAGCAGAACTTAAGTAGAAGTACAGTAGCTTCAATTTGGATATTATGGAAGTGAAGTGCATCATTTAACAAAAATAACACAATTTTAATGTGGGATAATCAGACACAAACTGCAGATTTATTTATTATAAGCATCCATGTGTCAGAGCTGCTGTTGAGGTTTTATCACAGACTCAGTAGCAAATATGGAAACCTCTGTGGTACTGGGAGGACTGGCCAGCACGTGGCTCTGAGCTTGTTCAGTGAGGCGGCTGTGTGATTGTGATATCTGGCCTCAGTGCCGACTGCAGTGTGTCTTCAGCTGTTTAATGGCTCCACAGCCCTCCCTCCTCACAGATTTCAGCTGTTGGAAGTAATCTGATATAACTCAGACCTCTGTAGCTGGTTATGAAACATTTTGTGCCTGCAGCAGAGTAACAGCATAAAGGACTGGTATGTTACCAGAACTCAGATTTCCTAAACTGACAAAATCAAAATGGAGAAACATTGTTTTTGTAAACACACCAGGTTGTCCTCCAAAATGGTCACAATTTCATTACATCCAGGCACAAAAACTACTTGGTTAGGTGATGAAGACACATTATTGACTACTGACCTGGGGGGGAATCCTATGTTTTATACACCTGCCATCCACCCCACCCTCCTCCTAACTTCATCCTTTGCTTGTGTCATAATTGCTATGCTAGCTAGAGGTCATCAGACTATACTATTGCAGCACTGGAGTCAGAGAGACACCTGGTGGGATCCCCCATAATACCCCTCGGGGAGAGATGTATTAGTTCGGGGTTTGTGGGAATTGTTCAGTGTGTTCTGTGCGGTTGCCAGAGTGTGTGTGTGGGAAAATAAAAGAGAAAAAGGCAACTTTTGTCTCCACCTCCTTCATTAAGCTAGCCTACATTACATTGGTGTCAGAAGTGGGATGAGGAAGAGCCTCGGGAACGGACAGAAGCGCGAGGCAGTGCGACCTGAAGAAGGCCCTGCATCCACGGAGGAGTGTCATTTTTATCATAATTCCACATGATTATGATTTTATTGCTCACAGTGCCAAAAAAGTGCAAAACAATACTGACACTTTGCTTATGTGAAATGATAAAGTTATGTTTTTATTATACCACAGGATTTGTTACCGTGTCACTCTCTGTGGAAGGAATCTCATTCTGTAAGCAGCATTTAACAGACAATTTTGCCTTTCTTTTCTCTGACATTGGAATGTGAGCAAAGCAGATATTCACCGAGCTGTGGACATGTTCAGACAGTAGCCTGGAGGCCTGCAGATAGAATGACGAATACAGCAGAGTCTGTTACACAGTGCTGAACCCATTGCCCTTACCTATGATAACAAATGCTCAGAGGAGTCATTAGGAAGGCAGGAACACCTGGAGAATGTATAGGAAGCACTACTACATAGATGAAGTCATGTTTTATTAATGTTATAAAACTGTCCAGTAGTAACATAAAAAAAATCAAGACATGGATCTTTATGTGTCTGTACCGTTGCCTAGACCTGCTGCACTGCATCAGTAAATTGATTTGTTTGTCTTGTTTGTGTCAAGTGAGACAGAGGTCAGTCTCAGACTGCTATAATCAGTTATCAATACACAGTTAAGTGTGCCCAAAGCTGGGTGAACATTCCTATCACTGGGCCCCACAGCGTATCAGGTCTTGATGTCATAAATCTGTAGGGCCCCATGACAGGTGCCACCTTTCTGACCTACAAGTAATCATTAGTCAGAAATATAGCTTTTGAGTTTTGACATTCAACCGGTCTTACAAAGAGAGAGAAAATAAGACACAGAAAGAAATAAACAGAAAAGAAAAACCCAGCATATCATGCAATAAAAATGAACAACCAAACACAATCAGTGTACCAGAATCAAATAGTACCTCTGCAAGTCTCGAAAAGAAAACCAACTTCACCCTCTGCTGGTCATCTTATGTAAGTGCAACATGTGCACCGTGCTTTTCAAGGCAAATGCCAAGATTGTTTAAATGTGAATGTTGTGTTTTCTTCATCATCGGGATGTAAATGTGAGTAAAGGATATCTCTTGGAGCTTAACTTTATTTTTTGACATTCTTGGCTTACACAGTAGCCTGTAAGGTTAATGGTTTGATAGACTATTCATATAACTTGTCATGAACTGTATTATTAGTTAGTTTACTTCATTTATGTTTATGTATTATATTATTATGTTCAGTTTCTGAAGCTTTCCACATTAATATTAGGATGTTTGCAGATTTAAAATAAAATTAAATTCTTCTTTATGGGAACTTTAGTAGCTCAGCAAGTTACCATGTATGTGATCTTGTAGGTTTGATGTTAACAATGCAGGGTTTTTTTTTTAACTACTAAATGGAAAGACTTGATAAAGCTTTTTATGAGATAAACTGTCACTGTTCAAAAGTGGGAAATAAAAATAAATACAAACTATCACAGCTACTGTGTGATGATCAAGACAAATGCTAAATGTTGTTTTGTACTGTGGGGATATCCATGATGGTTCCTTTTAGGACCTGGCGGAAGTCCCTGCTGTGACCTCCCGCAGGTTCCGCGCTCTCTCTCAAAGCGCAGCGTCCCCATCAGCTGTTGGAGCTGCGTGCGTGTGTGCTGCGGTGCTGTGCCACTGGAGCTGGCGACGCTTTTTCCACCTCGTTATCCCAGAACAGCCCGTGGAGCTTTACCACTCCATACCAGGGAAAGAAGAAACGAAGATGAGGTACAGTTTGCATTTGCAGTGAAACTTTTTGTAGCTGTGACTAAAGCGACCAAGTTGAGAATGTGACTGCATGCTGCCTCTGCAGGTGTTCTTCATGGCTGGAGCGCCTCGTCTGCTGCCTCCTTCTCCTTCTCAGCCCCGCGGCATCGCAATGGACAGGTAAGGCCAAATACTGACGCGCGGACACGGTGGCATGCTTACGCTTTGTTTTAGTCACATCTGCAACCTTCGTGACGCTTTAGTCGCCTGGTTTTCTGCAACTGTGCAATTCCTGTGCATCAAACAGCTCGTGGTAGATTAATTATGTAATCCACTTAAGATTTAACGAATAAAGTTTTAAAATAGTGAAGTACTGGCTTTTACCGGCAAATCTTCTTTTTAGGAGCCTGAATGTACCTGCCCAATGCAGCACCAGTCTTGTATGGGAATAGTGGAGTCATGGTTGCAGATTGCCAGTTTTACGTTGCAGCAACACGCTGTCAGTTACTATATGATGCTAAACTTCTGCTGTATGTTGAACAGGAGGTTTGCTCACTCTTTTTCTTTGGCTTGGATGGCATTGGTTCACTGCTTTAGGACTACAGCAACCTGTATGTACTGAGCATGGCTGCTGCAAAATTATGACACATTGTTATGATTCACTGATACAAAGCAGTAGATTTTCAATGCTTTGAAGGTTAAAGTAGCTTCTGGACTGTTTACAGGTTTTTGAGTCGACAGTGTTCAGATATAAACCTTCTGCCTTTGTCCTGTGTCTGACCAGAGACAGTGGCTTGTAGGAGCTGCATCTCACTTCTGAAAAAGGCTTTTATTTCTTTCCCACCTGTGTAACAACCTGCTAACCCAGCTGGCGCAAGCAGAATTCTGAACTTGCATCTTTCCAGCTGTTATAATGTCAGTGCATTTGAACAAGAGGTGAGAACAACTGACCATTTTGTTTGCACACGGTAGTAGTGGTGGTAAAGGTCTATGAGCCACTAAATGAACTCTCTTCTCTTCCTGAATAATTGATCTCTGAGCCTCACCAGTGTCCCACATTTAATTTAGTAAATGTTAAGTTGGAGAACGGTGTAGCTGTCAGATGATAGGGAGGGGAAACTGAGAGGATGCCAATTAATATTTGATTGACCGTGATCACCAGCAGCCAGTTGGCTGTTCCTTTTCACTGTAAAATGTCTAAAAAGGTTCAAATATGGTGCAACTACCTCTCAGACAACATGGCATGGTCGTAGGAATGCTGTCCTGTCTGTGTGTGTCCAGGTTGAACAGGCTTGTCACCGTGTCTCCAGAGCGGTGCTCTCAGCCGCCTGCGACATAGTTGGATTAGGTCTGATTCTTTCCCAGTCCCCGACTGGGCCAAGAATCCTTATTGTTATGTGATCTTTGACATGCACCCAGTGTGGTTTTGCCTGAACGGAACAGGACGGGGTGGGGGGAGGGGCACACCTTTAAGGGTACACCCTACTGTGCCATTTAATGACTAAATTAGATGCCACATTAAAAATCACAGCTGGCTTGAAGGTTTTCCCCTTTTCAGTGATGACCATAGGTATAGGAAAACCTTCTGAAGCATTTCAAACATGGTAAATGAAGCAGGTTTTAAAAAACAAAATAGGTTTTTAAATTCCTGTATTAGCATATTTGTTACTGCAGATATGTTTTGATAAACACTATGTTTGGAGTAACTTTGTTTGCAAGCTTTGTAACTGAACTGGATTCAGCTTCTGTCTGATTATCTTGAGCCCTAGTGGGTGATAAGGTCAGGAGCTGAGGTACTGTAATCCCATGCACAGCCAGAGGCAACGTAGACTACTCATCCATCCAAATGAGTGCCGAGGCAAAACAGGATTCTCAAATGTACCACAATATAAAACACTAACATAGCAGAGATGTGTAGATATAGAATCTTCTTGCACACATAATTGTGAGGAACACGTTTCACATCGCAGATCTTTGGGCTTGCTAGGTGGTGATACTCCTGTTGTAGAAAGTATGTCTGCTACAGCTTTGACAAACATCTGCTTGTATAGATGTTAACAATGCAGGGTTTAGCTGCATACTGCATAGTGTATAGCTGCAGCTTTTGCAGGAAACCATTTGCATCCATACCTCAGATGTGTTCTGAGAGTAATGATCAAGCGTAGTGGTTTTTCCTCATGTTTTTCTTTTGTTTTCTGTCATATTTGCATTTTTATTTCTGGTTTTCATGGTACCACAGAGTTTAAGGCATGTTGTTATACTCTAAATACAGTATGTACAACTGACAGATAGCGGAAGCTGAAATACATATGAATCCGCACTTTGTTGTTTGAAAAATAATAAAACTCTCTGAAGAGGACAAGCATGGATTCTGAATTCTTAAAAAAAACATTTGCTGTAAACTCCAGACCTTATGTACTCTATTCCTTTAAAGTCCAGCTCCTCAAGAATAAAAATCTGTTTCTGTGTAGTGAGCAGCTCTTAGGTCGGTGCCTCTGCTGGGATCATTTTAACTCTGAACACAATAAATAGGTAGAGATTCTGTTGACTCAGTGAATCTTGTGGTGTCTAATCTCTGGATTTTCTAGTCGGTAAACCTACTTATTCATGACCAACCTCTCTGGAGTTCCATCTAGCATTCATTTGTTATACTGTGTCAGACCCCAGCATTTAGAAAGGACATGAAACCTCTGCTAGGAAGACAGCTTTTGTCTTGGACTGTGGAGACAGTTATGACTTTGAGTGTAGGCTTACCTGTGTGTGTGGGTGGGGGTCATTTAAAATGTCAAGTGGATGTCTGGATAACCCTCTGTGGCTCCTCTTTTTCTCCCTTTTCAAAAACCTGATACAGGTGATTGACACTTCCTTTGTGCAGTTATGCTCCAGTATGGCCACTGTCTTTTGTCTGTCAATCACCGAGAAACGAACCAGACCCAAGTTCACTGCTCAAAATATGAGTCTGAAGTTTCGGGCGCTTCACTAATAACCGGGATATGCCTTTTAAAATTCCACCTGATGCCGTGCTGTTAATGTTTGAGATTCCACATGGAGCTTTTTTGTTTCAAAAAGTCAGTCACAACACTGTTTACAAGGTTAGTTCAAGAAAAACAGATTTCTGGCTCTTAAAGCTCCTACAGTGTAACAGGAACAGACAGTCAAACACCAGGACAAAAATGAGACGAAGTAAGTGAAGGAGAGTAAAAATATTTGTAAGAAAACTACGGGTGGTCACATTCTGCTTTGATTACTTCATTCAACCCATCTGGATCGTGTAGTGAACATGAAGAGTGGTTTATCTGTGCTGTTCATTGACAGACGTGGCCCAGTTTGAGATTCACCCCATGATAACAGTGACTGTCACTTTGTTTTTTACATGATTGTTATTTGCCAATTTGTTTATTTTCTGAGCTAATAAGACACATCGACATTTCATTCAAAGATTCAGTTCAATTTATTTTATTTAATTGTCTGTCATCTCTTTACATGATCAGATTGAGACCTTATACTATTATAAGGAAAGATTTGTATAATCTTCACACTTCCAGTCACTCTTTCATATAATTTCATATAATTTGTTATGTGGACCCTCTGCCACACACATACACCAAACATGTTGTGGTAATTTTATGCACATTCCAGATAAACTCACTGTGTCAGATTTGAGCAAAGCGTAACAATGGGGAATGACCTGTGACAAAACCTAAAGCAGCTCCCTGCTGCCTTCTTCATTTGAACATCACATAAAGAAAGAGCCATTTGATCCTTAACTTCCTGAGTTCATGGTTGTTTATGTGGTGAAGGGGGGAGGGGGGTGAACGTGGCCACAAGATTTTATGACTTGTGTTTTTATTGCTGCAATTATGAATGTCCACCAGACACTAACTGAATGTTTGCTGATGTTCAGCATGATGTTTACAGGAAAATGACACTGTGTTAATCATTTTAGGAAACAAAAATGCCACAGTCAAAAGCGTGAGATAGAAATCTGAAAGTGGACCGGAGCCCACTGGAGCTGAAGTCCACTTTCTAACACTCCTATTCTTCGATGTTATCAAATCACTGGTGCCCTCCAACAGAAACAGGATTGATATGTGTCTCCACATTGAGAGAGGAGCCGTGCACAGTTTGTGCATATGAAACAGGTGGTGGCCCTTGCGCCCATAGCCGTACTGGACTAGGGCTCTCCCTCCTCACAAATCCCACTTTAATTATGACAATACAGTTTTGTTTGCATTGCCATATGTAGAGAAATGTTGTCACAGGGCTTTGTTTAGTATTACCGTAGTTCTGTTTTCTCTCCTATCATCTTGCTTTTCAGGCCAGAGCATCCTTTCGAAAGTTGCCGACAGCTGTTATTTATAGCTTTATGTGCTCCCACCATTCAGTGTTTGAGGTGCGCTCGGCTGTTGTCTCGTCCTGTCCCTGATGTAAAATGCTGGGTTGACCGCAGCAAAACACAGAGGGACACCATAATTACTGCTTATGTTCCAAGAGCAGAAGATTGGTATGGGCCGCTTGCTCTGTACACCCAACTGTCTCCAGCGTTAATGGCACACTGAGTGCCCTCTTACCTCTCAACACCTCTTTCCTGTTTGTGGTGAAACCCTCACTTATTTGCTTGTCTTTCCCAGCATAATACAGGTAAGTGAGTGGAAGTTGAGAAGATTTGCTCAGCAAATAACTGACTCTACAGTATGTGCAGGTTTCGTTTTAAAGTGTAGCGCAAGATCAAAAGGCTTAAATGCCACCGACACATTCAGTGCAGCTGTGTCTTCCACATCATAACTGCATACTGCAAGATACAATTAAGGCATGTTTCCTTAAGGACAAAATTTCTACACATTTGGATAAAATGAATTGCGATTGCAGTATCCATACAGATTTACTCTGTGGTAACATACCACAATAGGGAAACTGGTGCTGAAGCAAGAGAAATATTGATTCTTCAAAAGTAAATTTGAGTAAGACAATCATACTGGTGCAAGAAAAAATATCCCATGATGCATCTGTTGTGGGTGAACTTAAGAGTTGCAGTAGTTCACTGTAATGTAAACCTGTTCACCATCCAAATTGCAGTGGCTAAAGAGACTTCTAGCCTTCTTAGGAGCCTTTACATTTCAAGCCAGGCTTACTTTTACTCTGTGTTGTTAGTTTGTCAGCAGTGCAGGCTGTGGCCTGGGTGAACACCGGTTTCCATAGCCACCAGGTGCTGATTTTTCCACCACAAAGCTGTATTTGGCTGTAGCCAAGGAAATTAGATCTATCTACCTGGCACTTTGTTTCAGTCTCCAGCTTTAGGGAGTGTTCACTTCTAACTGACGGTCTGCTGAACACAGGGAGGCATGAAACTAGAGACCCCCTCCCCACCCACCCATTTACGTTCTCTTGTCCTAAGTAATCTATACCATGACCACGACTGTGTAGACTGCTTCATGTCTCCAGTTGTGAACTGATTCCCTGACATTATTCTGAGGATACCTTTTGCAGCTTCAGACCTAAAATAAGTAAATTTTAATGGGCTGATGTATGTGAACACCATTAATACAAGCACAAGCTCCCACCCAATGTATTTTTAATGAATGAATAGCCCATTCAGCATTTCATGAGGCCCCTCTCGGGAATGCCATTGTGCATTTCCAACCTCACTTGCTGTTATAGCCCTCTTTTTGCTCTCCACACCTTATCTTCTGATTGACTCTCATGATGTGCAGGGCGCTTTTCAAGGCATTCTTGAATTCCACTCATTCACCCATCCTTCAAGAGCTGCCATGTCTGTAGGCACTTCTTTTTTTTTTTTTTTACCCCCTCACAAATCTCACACCATGGGGGTGTGAACTGAGGAGAATCCCATGGGATGGGGAGATTACCATCAAGCTAAGAGCTCTTGTGACAAAAGAGGGATTTGCTGAGTCTCATTCCTCTGTCCTCTACTTTCCTATGGTCTTGCTGGAAGTAGGACTTTGGACAAGGTATGGGATTTGATAACATGCGTTGCCTTCACTGTACCTGTCAAAAACTGAGAGATGGACTTTCCAGGTACACTCAGTATTGGATAGTAAAAATGTAAAGAAATAAATCAAAAGGAAAAAACAGTGTCTGTCATCTACTGAGACTGCAAGTGTTTTTATTGTCTCTCTGAAGTTAAGCACCTCTCAACACCAACTTTAATGCACTGCAGAGAATCTCTTTAATGATGTGCTTTTACCTGCTTGTGTATACATCATTGCTTAATGCTATAGTGAGACTTAAGACTTGGCTCTGGTTGGATCATGTGCTGAGCCTGGATTTTTACAAGGATAATTCCTCTGTTGCTGATTGTTGTGTGAATCATGAGCTTGCAGACAATAAAGAGTGCCCTCTATTCACTCGGTGGTTGTTGTGGGCCAGGTGGCACAGTGCCATCCACTGAGGGGTTTAGAGACAGGGAAAATAGGCCAAGAGAGGGGATGTTAAATATTTAGAGGCCCAGTGAAAGATTTGCAGAGACAGTGGCATTATCAGTCAAACTCCCTTCTTCACTCTATTAACTCGGTGGTTGTTGTGGGCCAGGTGGCACAGTGCCATCCACTGAGACAGGGACAGGTTTAGAGACAGGGAAAATAGGCCAAGAGAGGGGATGTTAAATATTTAGAGGCCCAGTGAAAGATTTGCAGAGACAGTGGCATTATCAGTCAAACTCCCTTCTTCACTGGCCACTTTACTGGCTGAAACCTCCCATGAAACTCGGTTACTGCCATGTTCAGCAGTACACCATAGTTTCACACCTTCATTTTATAAATGCTAGATAATGTACTTGGCTGTATAAAGTTTTGGTAAATTTGTGTTTTTCTGTCTTGAATGTGATTTTTTTTTTTTTAATCAGAAATGAAGAAGGCAAGTGAATACTTGTACACTGTAAAATGATTAAAGGTGCCAGTAACCAGACTGCACTGTGCTGTAGTGGACTTTCTTCTCACATGGGACACATTTGTGCTTGCTTTCCTTACACTCTATTCAGATTACTGAAGCC